ATGACATTAAAGTCATTAATTATCTTTTCTCATCTGTTACACAATTAAGGATACTGTTTTTATAAAAATAAGGCAAAAGTGGTTTATTGGTGTTCAAATATCAGAAATCAATTAAAGAGACAAATCCATGTAACAAGACAAAACTGGTGGTTTTCCAAAAGGAGTATCTGACGAGGTGCGTAGATAGGGTTTCCTGATATGCATGCATCACTCACATAAAACTATGTTTTGTTTAGAGCAATATTTACTCAATCTTCAAGTGGCAGATCGTTATATCTACAGTAGATTTAGATGTTCAAATATCAAAATCCCTATTGAAGTTGGTCGGTGGAAAAATACACCAAAAGAGGATCGTATATGCTACCACTGCGATTCAAATACAATTGGTGACAAATATTATTATTTTTTTACATGTACCAATGAACAAAGTATGTCATTAAGAGAAAGGTATATACCTACATATTACACAAACATCCTTCCTAATTAAAATTCATAGGTCTACTGTCACACTGTAATGTGCCAGTTCTAACAAAACTGTGCACGTTTTTAAGACATTTACAAAAGATATTTTCATAATTTATATCATGTTACAATGTCGTATTAAAATAAAATTTTATTCATGTTGCAATTCAAAATATTGCAAAAAATCAACCTAATATGGTATATTTCAATTCTATTGTATGATATCGCTAATTTATTTATTGTGTGTCTTGCTTGCAAATGTATAATCATGTAATTAGGTCTTTCCACTTTTCTGTGGAAGGACCTATTGGTTTTCTTCTGATTATTAGGTCTTTCCACTTTTCTGTGGAAAGACCTATTGGTTTTCTTCTGATTATTAGGTCTTTCCACTTTTCTGTGGAAAGACCTATTGGTTTTCTTCTGATTATTATTTTTTTCTTCTTCCGCCACTTTTTTCTGACGGTGCTTTTTTGTTTCGCAAGATGTCGCTTAGATTTTTTGTGTATGATATCGAACAGTTATTGCGATTTTGAAACTGACCCTGTTTAGCCGAATACTTTTTATTGTAGGAGTTATCTCCCCAAGCGCTCTTTTTCTTGTGTACACATCTCCTTTGCAACCGTTACGAATTATGACAAATTTATGTCTCCAATTTGTTCGTTATATCCTCAGGATCTTAAGAATAATTTTGACCGAAGCGGTCCAGAAACTCCATATGAGAGTTATTTCCCCTTCTGTATTTAAAATAAGTAAAATGTAAGTGTAATTGATAAACCATAAGTGATAGGGACCTAGGGTCTTTTGATTTGAGGTCCTTGGTCAAAAAAAAAGAAAATAGGGTCAAGGTCAAAGGTCAAGGTCATTTTTAAATTTGGATTTAGGCTTATTTTTACCCCTTTTCAAACACGATATAAGATATCGACAACATATTTTTACTTAATTGTTAGATGCGACATGTCGTAACACATACATATCGGTATAAAGGGTACGCTTACATCAAATTAGAGTTTTCTCCCCTCTTTTATTTAAAAATATGCATATGGTGATATAAATCATGAACCAAATATAATTAAGTCCTAGGGTCTTTTGATTTAAGGTCCTTGGTTGATGACCTTGAAATTGTGCTCACGGTCATAGGTTAAATTGACATTCTAGATTTTGACCTTTGCTTCTACCTCATATGTATACATGATAAATCCATGGGACTTTTTGCATTAGGTTTCAAGCCATTTAACCTTAGAAAAGCCAACCGGAAGTGATCTTGTGTAAACCGGAAGTAGCTTGTTTTGTACTTTATTAATGTAAAAGTTTATAGAACCAGATATTTCTGGTATCAGTGTCAATTAAACGTTTGAATAATACCGGAAGTAACATTTTTCAAACCGGAAGTAACAAATTATCTCCCTTATTTAAAAAATATTGTATAGAAACCATATATTTTTGGAATCAGCGTACAATAAGCTATCATTTGAAGCTGGAAATGACATTTTAAACCGAATTTTACTATTTTCATATTAAAATACATGGTTTTTTTTTTGGAAAGACGTTCAATTGTTCTCTGAACAATTGGTTTTTAATTATTATTTTTTCTTCTGCCGCTACTTTTTTTTTGTCACTGTGCTTTTTTGTTTCGCAAGATGTCGCTTAGATTTTTTGCATATGACATCAAACAGTTATTGTGATTTTGAAACTGACCCTGTTAAGCCGTACACTTTTTATTGTAAGAGTTATCTCCCAAAACACTGTTTTTCTTGTGTACATATCTCCTTTGTTACCATTACAGATAACGACAAAATTATTTCACCAATTTGCTCGTTATATACTCAGGACCTTAAGAATAATTTTGGCCGAAGCGGTCCGGAAACTCCATATGAGAGTTATTTCCCCTTCTATATTTTAAATAAGTAAAATGTAATTGTAATTGGTAAACCATTAGTGATAGAGACCTAGGGTCTTTTGATTTGAGGTCCTTGGTCCAAAAAAAAAAGAAAATAGGGTCAAGGTTAAAGTTCAAGGTCATTTCTAAATTTGGATTTTGGCTTTTTTTCACCTCTTTTCAAATACGATATAAGATATCGACAACATATTTTTTACTTAATTGTTAGTTGCAACATGTCGTAACACATACATATTGGTTTAAAGGGCACGCTTACATTAAATTACAGTTTTTTCCCCTCTTTTATTTCAAAATATGCATATGGTGATATAACTCATTAACCGAATACAATTAAGATCTAGGGTCTTTTGATTTGAAGTCCTTGGTTGATGACCTTGAAATTGAGCACAAGGTCATAGGTTAATTTGACGTTCGTGAATTTGACCTTTGCTTTTACCTCATATGTATACATGATAGAGCCATGAGACTTTTTGCATTAGGTTTCAAGCCATTTATCCTTGAAAAAAACAACCGGAAGTAACCTTGTGTTAACCGGAAGTAGCTATTTTTTGTACTTTATTAATATAAAAGTATATAGAACCAGATATTTTTGGAATCAGTGTCAAGTAAACAATTCAAATAATACCAAAAGTAACATTTTTCAAACCGGAAGTAACAAATTATCTCCCTTATTTAAAAAATAGTGTATGGAAACCATATATTTTTGGAATCAGTGTACAATAAGCTATCACTTGACCCTGGAAATGACATTTTAAACCGAATTTTACTACTTTCATATCAAAATACAGTTTTTTATGGAAAGACCTTCAATTGTTCTCTGGATAATTGGTTTTTAATTATTATTATTATTTTTTTCTTCTTCCGCCACTCTTTTATGACGGTGCTTTTTTGTTTCGCAAGATGTCGCTTAGATTTTTTGCGTATGATATCGAACAGTTATTTCGATTCTGAAACTGACCCTGTTTAGCCGAATACTTTTTATTGTAAGAGTTATCTCCCCGAACACTGTTTTTCTTGTGTACGCATCTCCTTCACAACCGTAAAAGATTATGACAAATTTATGTCTCCAATTTGTTCGTTATATCCTCAGGATCTTAAGAATAATTTTGACCGAAGCGGTCCAGAAACTCCATATGAGAGTTATTCCCCTTCTGTATTTAAAATAAGTAAAATGTAAGTGTAATTTGTAAACCATAAGTGATAGGGACCTAGGGTCTTTTGATTTGAGGTCCTTGGTCCTAAAAAAAGAAAATAGGGTCAAGGTCAAAGGTCAAGGTCATTTTTAAATTTGGATTTTGGCTTATTTTAACCTCTTTTCAAACACGATATAAGATATCGACAACATATTTTTACTTAATTGTTAGTTGCGACATGTCGTAACACATACTTATCGGTATAAAGAGTACGCTTACATCAAATTAGAGTTTTCTCCCCTCTTTTATTTAAAAATATGCATATGGTGATATAACTCATGAACCAAATATAATTAAGTCCTAGGGTTTTTTTGTTTAAGGTCCTTGGTTGATGACCTTGAAATTGAGCTCAAGGTCATAGGTTAAATTGACGTTCTAGATTTTGACCTTTGCTTTTACCTCATATGTATACATGATAAATCCATGGGACTTTTTGCATTAGGTTTCAAGCCATTTAACCTTAGAAAAGCCAACCGGAAGTGATCTTGTGTAAACCGGAAGTAGCTTTTTTTCGTACTTTTTGAATGTAAAAGTTTATAGAACCAGATATTTTTGGTATCAGTGTCAATTAAACGTTTGAATAATACCGGAAGTAACATTTTTCAAACCGGAAGTAACAAATTATCTCCCTTATTTAAAAAATATTGTATAGAAACCATATATTTTTGGAATCAGCGTACAATAAGCTATCATTTGAAGCTGGAAATGACATTTTATAACGAATTTTACTATTTTTCATATTAAAATACATGTTTTTTTGTGGAAAGACCTTCAATTGTTCTCTGAACAATTGGTTTTTAATTGTTAATATATAAGTGTTATTCTCTTGTAGCACCATACGTGTGCCTAAGTTGTAATAAATTGTCTTGTCTTGTCTTGTCTTAAAATTGTGGTGTGATTGCCAATGAGACAACTCTCCACCAGAAATCAAATGACGAAGAAATTAGTAACTATATGTCACCGTCCGACTTCAACAGTGAGCAAAAGACATACCGCATAGAAAGGTATAAAAGTTCCCGAAATGAGTAATGTAAATGAATTCAAATAACAAGCTAACGGGCTGGTCTGTGTACAAAACAGTAAACAAAATTCTTGAAGATCCACTTTTACTTTTATAAATAAGGCACAACACTCTATTCTGGTCAGGATACCATGAGACTACTTTTGTATATGTCAACATGGTTTGCACCGTTCCAACCCGCCCTTCACATGAAGGGTATTGACATGATATTTGCTGATCTTTATGCAAAGTACTAGTGATATGGGCATAAGAAATTCAGGAGAAATCTATGAACAATAATACATGTAATTAGGTTATATCTTTAAAACTATGGACGATTTTACGAACACACTGTTGGATAAATAATTATTTTAAACATCTTTTTGTGTCTTCATAACTGCGTATGATATGAAGAAACTATCATTATTAGATAACACAAATACTGAAACATATAGAAGTGTTTTATTTGCCAAACTGGAGGAACTGAGCGTGATTATATGAGCAATGGTCAAACTTTGGTACCACACGGTGGCGGGACTCTCCCGACCCAATTACAAGTCTGTTTTGCTGCATCAAATACCAAATCTGTAAAATATATTTCAAACTTTTAAAAGTAGGATTTTAATTAATATCAATAGAATATCCTTAAAACTGTAAGACGAGCTCACATCTTATCTAGTATTTTTTTCGGTAGCAAAATTTGTATGTTGCTCTCGTTGCCTCTGTCGTCGTCATTGTAACTATGGTTGTACACAACTATTTCTTTTCAATATCTATTGATTTGTCCTTTTTTACATTTTTGATTCGAGAGTCTTTTGCAGACGAAACGTGCGTCTAGCTTACAAAATTATAATCTTTTATATTTAGATTTATTTTCTCTATAGCGCTCCTTTTGATAAACGATTATGATAATATGTCTACACATTTTTAATAGCTCTAATGGTTCCTTAGACTTATTTTGACCGATTAAGTTTTCTAAAATATACAATCAAAGGTTATGAAAATCACATTTAATATGACATATCGAGTATTAATATTCATATTTGAATTGATGGAAATACATCATTGATATACAATAACACGGTTCCTGACTTATATCAGCAATATCCTGCAATCCTTTAAAACTTGAATGCCATGGAATGATACAGGATAACTTTTTTCACACGTATGCTAAGTGTTAATTATGCATAAATAATATCGTTTCTCCGTTATGGACAGTAGTGGTTTTTTTCCCTTAGCTTATTCTAATCCTCCAGGAACAAAACAACTTACTTGCTGGACAATGTTGATATCCTGCTAATTTCCCGCTATAACAAACAGCAAACGAAGTACAATTGGTTTGCAAATCAGCAAAATCGCCATCTGCTTTACTTGAACAGTCATAATTGTAGCCACCACATGGTAAAGGGACATTAATTGGTCTACAAAAATATATATGTTGTACTAGTGTTCTAGTGAAATAGAAATGATTTGTAAAATAAAGAATGATCGGTTGAATTTAAACTTATTGAAAGCCATTATCTAATTAATTTGAAAACAAAATCAGATTTGAAGCAAAGTAGACCTTTGTGTTAAAGGAAGATATGTAACTCTCATTCCTTACCATGGTTATAGTGAAAAATAGAAGAGTCAATTGTTAAAGTTCTGTGAAGATTTGACACTTGTATCTTAAAAGTATAAATATAAGTCAAGATCACAAGAAAAATTGACAATGAAAAATTGTATCTCAAAGTATAAAAATAAGTAAAGATCACCAGACAATGAAAACATTCAATGGAAAACAATGTTTTTTTTTGTCAGTAACATGATTATAACGTACGTACTTGTCACATTTTCGCGTCACATTGTTGAAAACAGTATCTAATGCTGGAGGTGTAGGGCAGTTGTGGACTGCTGCAGTACTGTTGATACATGTTTTATACGTCCGGCAGTTTAACTGGTAATTACCATTCCGTAGTCCAATACAATCCGCAGAAAATGACACATCTACAAAAAGAACACTATATTTCATGGCACTGCACACTACTTTCATGCATTTGTTAATATCATTTGGTGATATGAACCAGGACTTATAGCTTCAAACATATCGTCTCTGGTATGACAGCTTTCATTGTTCCACCAGTTGAAACATTTTGGACAACATAAACATGAAAATCCAAATAAATGCTCTAGGCGTAAGTAAAATTGTAATATATTTTCCACATGAATGGCAGAAATCAAAGCACTTAAGATATTTCTAAATGATTGAACTATATAATCTTACTTTGATTCATGAAGTGTTTTAAAAGAAACAGTACATGATATCCAATTACATTTAATGGCATTTCTACTGGTTACAATTTCACAAGGTCGTAAAAAAGAATAATTTCTTAGATTTATATCTGTTACAAAAGATTAAGCGCAACAGCAATTTAATCTAGACCCTTGACTAGACACAGTCCTATGATCCTCGGTTACTTACAGTCCGTAACAATAGTATTGACCTAACGATAGAAACGATTGTAATGCTCTCTTTATGTAGAGTCTACTGCTAATAGAAGAAAAAATACATAAATTGTAGTATTTAGAAATTACTTTACACAATTAACTCATTCCTTACCATAACACAGGAAGATTAGGAACAAAACAGCTGGTCTGCACTCCATTGTTTACTTTAAGATGAATTATAAGATAAGTGCGATGGCAGACGATAGCAAGGTCACGTGCACGAACTACGTCTGGAATTATCAAAGCCATAGAGGTCAAAGTAATGACAGATTACTGTGCTGGGATATTCCGTCCTCATATTGTAAAGGCAACAATTGAATATTATACAATTATAGCCTTTGTATGAGATCGATATATCGACATGAAAGAAGTATATTGACTAAGGACGAAGTCCGAGGTCAATATAGTCGACCTGAGAGAAGTATATTGACTGAGGACGAAGTCCACAGTCAATATACTTCTTTAGGTCGATATATATCCTCTTATCGACCTCATACAATGGCGGCTACAATTTTTATATTATTATTCCCAATAAGTCCGTGTCTGTTTTGTTTTGGTTTTTTTGTGTTTTGTGAAAACCTACCAGCCAGCCAGGAAAGAAAACACACACAGGGAAAAAACATAAGGTCTTGCATCTTAATCAAGAAAAGAAAACTGGCGGATTAACCAAGAATGGACATCCTGGAGACTTAGACAACATTAGGAACAATACTAGGACTGATATTAAAATAAACTACAAAAAACCCGCGCGAGCGCGGCTTGAAGACCATTTGAAATGTTTATGATGATACACAGCTTGGGTTCGTGTTTCTCAAACTGTTTTTATGCACTGATGCATTATGTTGATAGTTTTTATTAAATTGTCAGTTCTTCTTCCATAGGAGTTTGAATGTCCAATTAGTAGCTTCTGTCTCGGTGTTACACAGGTGCTCCTAGAACGGAGGAAATAACTCAGAGAAGAAGAAGACAATCTAGAACACTGATGATTAAAACATTTCTCAGTGGTGCTAGTTTGTAGTATTTCTTTTTTTTTTTCGAAAGGTGCGAGTCAAGTTCTGTCTCTGTGTGATACGGGTGCTCTGACATATCGTCTCTGGTATGACAGCCTTCATGGTTCCACCAGTTGAAACATTTTGGACAACATAAACATGAAAATCCAAATAAATGCTCTAGGCGTAAGTAAAATTGTAATATTTTCCATATGAGTGGCAGAAATCAAAGCACTTAAGATATTTCTAAATAATTGAACTATATAATCTTACTTTGATTCATGAAGTGTTTTAAAAGAAACAGTACATGATATCCAATTACATTTAATGGCATTTTTACTGGTTACAATTTCACAAGGTCGTAAAAAAGAATAATTTCTTAGATTTATATTTGTTACAAAAGATTAAGCGCAACAGCAAATTAATCTAGACCCTTGACTAGACACAGTCCTACGATCCTCGGTTACTTACAGTCCGTAACAATAGTATTGACCTAACGATAAACGATTGTAGTGCTCTCTTTATGTAGAGTTTACTGCTAATAGAAGAAAAAATACATAAATTGTAGTATTTAGAAATTACTTTACACAATTAACTCATTCCTTACCATAACACAGGAAGATTAGGAACAAAACAGCTGGTCTGTACTCCATTGTTTACTTTAAATTGAATTATAAGATAAGTGCGATGGCAGACGATAACAAGGTTACGTGCACGAACTACGTCTGGAATTATCAAAGCCATAGAGGTCAAAGTAATGACAGATTACTGTCCTGGGATATTCCGTCCTCATATTGTAAAGGCAACAATTGAATATTATACAATTATAGCCTTTGTATGAGGTCGATATATCGAAATGAAAGAAGTATATTGACTAAGGACGAAGTCCGAGGTCAATATAGTCGACCTTAGAGAAGTATATTGACTGAAGACGAAGTTCACAGTCAATATACTTCTTTAGGTCGATATATATCCTCTTATCGACCTCATACAAAGGCGGCTACAATTTTTATATTATTATTGCCAATAAGTCCGTGTCTGTTTTGTTTTGTTTTTTTTGTGTTTTGTGAAAACCTACCAGCCAGCCAGGAAAGAAAACACACACAGGGAAAAAACATAAGGTCTTGCATCTTAATCAAGAAAAGAAAACTGGCGGATCAACCAAGAATGGACATCCTGGAGACTTAGACAACATTAGGAACAATACTAGGACTGATATTAAAACAAACTACAAAAAACCCGCGCGAGCGCGGCTTGAAGACTACTTGAAATGTCTATGATGATACACAGCTTGGGTTCGTGTTTCTCAAACTGTTTTTATGCACTGATGCATTATGTTGATAGTTTTTATTAGTTTGTCAGTTCTTCTTCCTGAGGAGTTTGAATGTCCAATAAGTAGCTTCTGTCTCGGTGTAACACAGGTGCTCCTAGAACGGAGGAAATAACTCAGAGAAGAAGAAGACAACCTAAAACACTGATGATTAAAACATTTCTCAGTGGTGCTAGTTTGTAGTATTTCTTCTTTTTTTTCGAAAGGTGCGAGTCAAGCTCTGTCTCTGTGTGATACGGGTGCTCCAAGAACGGAGGAAATAACTCAGAGAAGAAGAAGACAATCTAGAACTTTCTGATGATTTAAAACATTTCTTCAGTGGTGCGAATTTGTAGTTTTATTTTTTTTTGAGTGGTGCGAGTTCTGTCTCTGTGTGACATGGGTGCTCCGACAAAGGAGGAATTTACTTAATGAAGAAGAAAACAATCTAATGATTAAACACATTTCTTCGAGTTTGTTTTAGTTCTTTTTTTTTTTTTTTTGAGTGGTGCGAGTTTGATAAAGTGATGCAAGTTGTAATAATTAGTGAGAATGTTTGAGTGGTGCGAGTTGGCCGTTAGCCTGGAGTCCTGGCTAATCTTGTCAGTATACATCAAACATCAAAATTTATGCAAATATTTATTCAGCCTCACTTTAGATTCAGAGTCAACTGGCACTGAATCGATCACGTGGTATTTGTTCCCCACCTGGCCCTTGCGACGTGCAGCTTGATCGGGCCGGGATGCCAGGCTAGTTGGCCGTGGGCCGAGTTATCGGGCAGTACCTCGACTAAGCATGCGCGAAAGCGTATAAGACACGGATCGATAACGGTTTTCGAATTTGGATATTTTCTCAAAAATTGGCGTTTTCTGTGGAAAAAAGATTGTTTCAAAGACAAATTTAGGAAGTACAAAACACTACATTTATACGTCATATCACAAATATTTCCGACTTTGTATGGTTTCAGAGGAGTTGCGGCTCAATGAAATCGGTCTCTTCCTTTAGTAGTATAGATATAGACAGAGAACACAACACATCTAACAAAAAAAGAAGATGACGGACTATATTCTACCAAACCAATTGTTCCAGATGAGAAAGCAATTTCTGCTTCTTAAGACTTAAGACTTCGAAAATAAATATTGTTTACTGTATTTAGCTCGTATATTTCTTTTTGAACTTTTTATTTATCTACGTCGATTTTAGGCTTTTGGTTATATGCGTTGACTGTTAAATATTCAAACATAACTAAAAAAAATGGGGATTTCTAGAATGTATTTTTTAGTAACATATGCTGTATGCCCTGTGCAATATGCTGTTTTTTACCTACGAAAAGCTAAACACAACAGTATTGGCGTGCAAACTGAGTAAATACAAATGTACATGTAATCAAGTTTTAACGAATCACAAATCCTAAAAAATATTCGATTAATAATATAAAGGAATGTCACATAGTTCAAATTAATGAAAGAATTCTGTCTTGAAATGTTCTGTCCTCATATTGTCATGGCAACATGAATATAAAGGAATGTCACAGATTTTATAAAAAATTAGATTATTGTCCTGGAATATCATGTTCTCAAGGCCACAAATGAACAAAAGTAATATTAAAGATTTCTAATTAATGAAAGATTTCTGTCCTTGGATACTCCGTCCTCATATTGCCAAGGCCACAAATGAAATCATTTGTTTGCACCTGTCCTAAGTCAGGAATCTGATGTTCAGTAGTTGTCGTTTGTTGATGTGGTTCATAAGTGTTTCTCGTTTCTCGTTTTTTATATAGATTAGACCGTTGGTTTTCCCGTTTGAATGGTTTTACACTAGTAATTGTTGGGGCCCTTTATAGCTTACTGTTCGGTGTGAGCCAAGGCTCCGTGTTGAAGACCGTACTGTGACCTATAATGGTTTACTTTTATAAATTTTGACTTGGATGGAGAGTTGTCTCATTGGCACTCATACCACATCTTCTTATATCTATAAAGGAATTTCATACAATTTAGATTAATGTGAAATATTTCGTAATCATATTATATAGGCTACAAATGAATTAAAATAATGTTACAGAGTTCAAAGTAACTATGAAACTACCTACTTTAAGGGCGGTGTCAATCAAATGCGGATACTAAAATATTCCAAAGATCTGTTAAAGCATATACAATTTAGGTTCCTCTACGAGGCGTGCAATAGTATAAAAAAGTTTACCCTTTACTCAAGAATTCCTTATTCTAGATTTAACGACCGGTTGCAGGAATAAGTCCAACTTTATTTCATAAAAAATGACAAAAGTAGATGTAAATATGTTGTTTTAGGAAGAGATAAATTATCGATGGTTAACAACTCTGATTTAAAAAAAAAAAAGTTCTCTGAAGCTGACATCATTAAGATGCTACTTTTGTTTACGACACATTTGTTACGTCTGGGGGCCTTGTTATTCAACAAACAGCATTTATATTGGAACTAACGGTACTCCTCTTCTTATCGACTTGTTCCTTTATTCTAATTATTTCGTAAAGGAGCTTTTTAAAAGAACAAAAGAAGCTTGTATTATTCTTTTACTTCACGTTTCGCTATAAAGGTGAGTTTTATTAACTGAATAGTTCAAATTTTGTTGACTATGCAAGGTGATCGCATCTATCCCGTTTAACTTTAGATAAAGGATACAACAAATATGGTTTAGTCTCCTTCGTATCTTGACCAAATCTAGATATTGACAGTAAAAGTCGGTTGAGAAATTAACTTTAGGACAAAAGAGATGATTTCGATTTTCCCATTGTGAACTGCCCATTTCTATATATTGAATTACGGTAAAATGTCAAAAATTAAGTGTTATCCTGTGCATGGGTCTACATAGTATTGACAATATTAAGGTAGATTACACAATTACAAACTTCTTTGATAAATTCATTAATATCTTTGATTTTTTTTACATTTTTATCTTTATTTAGTGACATATGACCGGAAGTTAAAACTTATAATTTTAGTGCATAGACAGCGTCACTATGTATAACAGTATATTTTGCAACAAAAACTACTAAAAAGTACTTGTAAGTAATCATGAACAGTTCAGTATACTTACAATCACTTTTAATCGCTAGACTTTTTTGTGAAACGCAGCCCTGTTTTCGTTAACCAGACAAAATTATTTAAAATTTATACTTATATTAGCATAATTAGAATATTCATGATAAGACCCACAACGGCAGGATTGGTCTGAATTAATGTTGACTCTTTGAAAATCATAATTCAAAACGGAGGCTGAGCATCGAATTATGTCAAAATGAACTTACGATTTTAAAATTGTGGATCTGCATTGCTTTTATTTGATAGAATAATAAACACCCATATTATCACAAACCTCACATGCAGGTTTATTTAGATAACGGTCTGATAAAAGTCAAATACAGATTTTTCTATGAACTTTCTACTTAATCTAATATACTAGTACTATAATATACATTCAAATGCTTCGATACATTTATTTATGGTCCCTTCGACATGGATGTTAGTATTTCTGCTAAATATAAAACCTATTATTGCTTATCAAAATCTGTAACTTGTATAGTCTCATAACTGAAAATTGATTTCATTTCTGGGATTTAAGTGCAACATGTGCAAGGAAACAACATAATTTCAGATTTCGGGGATTCATACCATAAAACATTTTTAGACCAATCTCTCAATCCTATATTGACCCGCCCGATCTTAAGTCAGTGACCGGTAGTCCGGTAGTTCTCGTTACTTGCCGTCTATCGTAAATGTCTTCCGTTTATAATGCTATTTACTCAATTAGGCAGGCTGTAGTCACTCTTAAATTGTTTCTCTTGGTCATCTTTGCCTATCATGCGGAATGATTTTTGGTCATCATTAAAGGTCATATGGTGACCTGTAGTTGTCAACATCCTCGTTCTTTATTCTGTGTTGGGGAGTTGTGTCATTGGCAATCATGCCACATCTGACTGTTTTTATAATGATTTTTTGTTTGAAAAAGTGTCTTGTATGCTGTATGTATTCGTGTTGAGTTGAATAATAAAAAAGGCAATTTCAACTCCATAAATTATATACAAACTACTGTTTCGCTACAAATCAAAAATTAACATGCAATTGATTCATAAATGTTAATTTCGCTTTTCTAGATATACGTTGGCAAAAAAGAATTACTTTTTCAAAGCTAAGTAATTAATACAGATTTATCCTTTCCGCAGCATTGGCATTTAAACGCCTAAATGAATTATAATCTTGATAATTTCGCATCACTGGAATGTTATTTTGCACGCTGAATACCAATTTATATCATGCAAGTAAATTTCTTTGGACTTTAGTAGCAGCACATACACATACACATTAATGGCGACAAAGCATGCAACCACAAAAGATTTTAAAACAAACTGAAACACCAAAAGCATTTATTAAAGAATTGTAATGTCTTTATTTAACTGCATCTTTCGTTGCTTTTTCTTGTTTCAAGTCATTTCATCCAGAGACAGTGGTCGGAATGTAATGCCCACATGGTGGTAGTACATTTTGAGGCCAATTACAAGTCTGAAGCTTAAAATCGAAAACCAATCCTACAATAACATAATATATTTTATCATTACAATGCATCAACAAATTTGCAGCAAAATGAGCTGAAATGTTTGCACCTGTCCTAAGTCAGGAATCTGATGTACAGTAGTTGTCGTCTGTTTATGTAGTTCATACGTGTTTCTCGTTTCTCGTTTTTATATAGATTAGACCGTTGGTTTTCCCGTTTGAATGGTTTTACACTAGTAATTTTGGGGGCCCTTTATAGCTTGCTGTTCGGTGTGAGCCAATGCTCCGTGTTGAAGGCCGTACCTTGACCTATAATGGTTTACTTTTATAAATTGTTACTTGGATGGCAAGTTGTCTCATTGGCACTCATACCACATCTTCCTATATCTATGAAGTTAAAAGATTGAGTGCGTCAAGAAATGGTTGTATATCGGTACATTAGAAACTAATTACAGCATATACATTTTAAAAGTTTCGGATTAGGAAAGGGGAGTCTAACGACAAATGCTCGCCCCCGTAGAATGTGATGGTCAAAATGGATATACAGTACATAAAACAATACCAACACACCAATAATCCAATTCCTTGTGATTAAAATTGAATCCATCTTCAATATATCTATTTAATAAAGAGTTAGGTCCAATTTCCTCTGATTTTATTTCACTTCAGGGTCGTTTTCTAAGTGTGCTTTAATCTGTACTTAAATTAACATTGACTGTCTCTTAACTTTAAAGTTTAATATTTTCGAACATCTGGATCAACATTGCAGTTTTGATAGATTTGGCAAAATATGAGTTTTATTATCCCAAAATAAAGAAAAACGACATTCATAACCAAAACGAAAATTATACCGGAAATAATTTATATATATATTCTGTCATTTAGATTCAAATTATTTAAAGATGTCCTTCGATTTGAAATGTCGAAAACGTGTAAAATTTGCAATGTTTTCTTCAACAGCAAATTGTATCGCCGTCTGATTTTGATCAAGTGAGTGAAACTAATTCAAGGGAAAATATCCTTACTTCTTTAATTATTCTTCTTTTACACAAAATTAACGGTTGTATATTTTATCAGTGTTTCCTACGTAAAATACTGAGTAAATGTTGATATAATGCTGGTATACTATAATCAAGCGAAAAAATATTTTGATATACCTGGTGTACAAGAATTGTGACCAAAGTACGTTCCAAACTGACATGTGTAGTAGGTGAGACAATTATTGAATAAATCAGGAAATCTGGCATCAGGTTTGTTTGTACAGTCTTCCAACTTTCCACATGGTGGTCCTACATGTGCTGGTCTATAATAAATATCAAACTTTGACTTAGTATCATAATTTGTGTATTCTCACATTCAGTTACCTACCTCCTACACGACGTGCTGGTCTATAGACATTATTTGAGTGTGTATCGTAATTTGTGTATTCTCATATTTTTTATACCTGACAATGCTTTTGCATATTGCAATCATTTTGAATTTGGCAAAAAAAAGAAAGGAAAATGCCACGCAGTCCCTCGAAACTATTTTCTCTTTCAAATTGATACAGGACTTTTGTATATAAGTACGTTGCATATAGTTTTTTTTTTCTGTAACGAACAGATTAGCGACTAAGTAAATATAAAAACAGAGATATAATTTTACAAAGAACATATTATTTTACGTCAAAAAGCTTATGTGCGTAAATTATATCTTGATGGGATAGGATGAGGAAGGGATCAGATTTAATTTTCACATGAAGTCACGACCTGCAACCTTTTAGGGGGAGGCATCCTTGCGACCTGACTTTTCATTTAAAAGGACCTGTGACCTTTGAAAATGTTAAAAACCGAGAATCAGATCGGTTTTGAACTATAAAGATGGCTTAAAAGTGACCTTAGGCAATTTTTAAACGTGACCCTGTGCAGGGGCGGATCCAGGATTTTGGAAAGGGGGGGGCGTAGTATTAAAGTTGGCCGAGCGGAGCGAGGCGAAAAAATTTGTGGACCTTTTTTTGGCTAAAAAACATAAAATAAGTGTAAAATGCATTTTATAGTTAAAGTGTAGGGTTGGTGCCGTATTCTCTCCATCAATTGTCTATTATGAAATGATTAGATGGATCCAAAGCTATGTACTAATTAATATATTTGATGTGGGATTTGTCAGTAAAAAATGGACATGGAAAATTCTCGTTTGTTGTATGGTTAGTTAGCATAACCTCACAGATTTCTTGTTGTAAACAAGATATACGGCTATTCAATGAAATTCACAATACGACCGACACGAAGAAAGACAAACAAGCAATTTTCATCCAAATGTTTGGTTGAAATGTTTCACCCAACAAGGGAAGTGAGGGGTTCCAAATCAACCAAAGGCTACGAATGAGTCGGAAATGACAATGAAGTTGTGAATGACGGTCGACACATGGAGACATATAGGCCACACACAGCAGGCTGGTTGCAGTCGGGCCTTGAAAAAAGTATTCAGTATATCAGTTCGGCGAAACAGACATTCCGGTCAGATATGGGATTCACATGCAACCCCCCCCCCCCCCCCCCCCCCCCCTCCTCTCAAAAAAAAAATAACGCCCGTTTTTTATTCATCATGTTCATTTAATGCTAAATAATTCTGTTGAAAATATTTTTTTCTAATAGCAAAAAAGTGGACAAGATTATTGTTTTCAATCCAGATACGGCCAGAATTTTTGTTTAAGGCAAAAATCAGGGTCAGAATTTTTTCTCTAAAATATCTCAGACTGCCCCCTCAGATCAAATGGTCCATACCTTAGACTTTAAATCTATATCTAGAGCTTACTGACTGGGGATCACTATTCAGCAATGTTATTAATGGGCTGGGGCGTGTGGGGTTAAACATGTTTTCGTAGGTAAATAATATTGCTGTGGAACTTTTTTTTCATGAGAGTGTAATAGAGTATTACTTTCTGTTGGGTGGAATTGTGAAATACTTTGTCGCTTTGGGGGCGTCATGCTTGTCATCCTCAGCCTAAGCAATGTGTTACTGTAATTTGAATTTCAAAATGACTGAGTGACGATTTTTTCGACGAACTGGTCAACTCCACCGTAGAGAATCACATGACTTTGACATAATCAATAATATATTACAGTAAATACGAGCGAAAAATATCTTTATAAGTCAAGAATTGTCGCATAAAAATTAAATACACGGGAAATGACAAAGTTCACGAAGTCTAGTCTGATTAATCATTTTACAAAAAAAAAAAAAAAAGTGCAAGCAAAAGGGGGGGGCGTACGCCCTCTACGCCCCCCTCTGGATCCGCCACTGCTGTGACCTAAGGGAGATGCCCTAATGGAATGCAATATATATAAATGTAGTGAGTGTACTAATGACAACTCTCCACTAGCTGACATGCAAAGAAAGATAACAGATATATCAAACTGAAACAGAATCCAAGGGTTGTTATGGTCATTCATTGGACTTCTCCAAACCGGTGGTTAATCCTTTGCTAAAGAGGGGTGTCCGTTTGGCTTTGTGGGAAGTATAAATACACATTCACGTCCGGTCGAAAGGGGGCTGTTAGATCCAATGCCTCGTGTAGAGAGTGCAGTGCTTTTTAAAAGTTAATGAACCATTGAAAAACTCTCTGCGGGGTTTTCAGATGGCCTGCTACAATGCAAAATTCTGTCCCCAATCCACCCCATCCCCTTTTTCCCCCATTAAATCCGCCTGTGATGAAATGTTTTAGAACAGCGCTGCAAAATAACAAAATCAAACTAGTTAACCATATTTTTTTTTTTTTTTGGTTTTGATAGTTTGTTCTTATCTTGTACTGTTACACCACTGTCCCAGGTTAGGGGACAATTGGCGCCTTCTAACTTGTTTAACTCTGCCACATGTTTTATGTGCCTGTCCCAGGTCAGGAGCCTGTAATTCGGTGGTTGTCGTTGGTTCATGTCTGTAATTGTTTCGTTAATTATTTTGTAATAATTTAGGCCGTAAGTTTTCTCAATTGAATTGATTCATAATTTTCATGCCGGGACCTTTTAGGGCAAACTATACGGCATGGGTTTATCTCATTGTTGAAGGCTGTACGGTTACCTATAATTGTTTAAATCCATTTCATTTGAACTTTGGTGGATAGTTGTCTCATTGGCAATCATACCACATCTCCGAATTTTTATAAGACGATGTTGACCTGAATATGTTTTTATGTTAAAATTACTTTTTTGGATTGCCGTCTTATTGAAGTTTACAATCTCCTCATTTATACAAAACTTAACGAAATCGGAAAAATAGGGGAAAGTAACTTTGAAACTTTTTTATCGGTTGAAGTATACCGTTTTGTGATCAGATGGGTTCACATAATTGGTTACAATGTACTTACGTGTCACAAGTTTTTGTTCGGTTGTTGTACACCGTATTAGGATGAGGTGGGTTCGGACAATTGACTACTGTAGCAACACCACCTGCACATGTCAAATACGACCTGCATCCTATCTCAAACACTCCATCACCTTTGCCTACACAGTCACCGGCAAATACTGAAAATCATGATAAATCATTGTTTTCTTAAACAGAATATATCAACAAAACAAAATTGAGTATTTCAGACCCTTAAGATTTATGCACTTCAATGACATATCTAAATTAAACTCGTATGGATGGAAATGATTGATTGATGGTGTTTAAACATCACGGCATTAAGGTATATAGGGGGGGGGGGGGGAATTCTGAGACAAGTGCCTGTGATATTATCGTTGGGCTAAATTTGAGACGAATTGTATATATACATATATATATATTTCGGAATCATTCTTTTTTTTTTAAATTCAAACTATCCGGTTGCAATAAAGCAGTCAAATACATAATATGGCCGTTTATAGAGTTAACAATCTCGGGTATTGTATACAGGTCTTTGATCGTTATCATGAATGTTACAAGCAAATTTTTTTTTATTGAAAAAACATACCAACACAAAATACTTCGTATTTATTTTAAAACTGACTTTATAAACAAGAACAATTTTCTTACCAGACACTGGAATAATCAAAAGAAAAATCGTATACAACATGGCTGTCTGGGAACAACACAATATGTTAATGTCTTATCTGTAAATGACCCAGGAAGTTCTCTTGCAGAATATATAATATATTGCAAGCGCCATATCAGATTATTGTCTACGTAACAGTATTTTGTGTGTATACACGACCTTATTTGAAATATGTTGCTCTTATCTAAATTAAATTGTGACCAGATAGATTCAACCATAAAGATAAAATGGAGTATTAAAATATAGTATGAACTTTTCCCACCGGCAGTGAAACCAGTGCTTTATGAGAATGTGGATGGGGGTTTACAGAATAGAGAATAAAGGGCAAAAAATATAAAGAATAGAAAAAAATGGACCAAAAAAATAAAGAATAGAGAATAATGAGGTGCTAAAATATAAAGAATAGGGAAAAATGGGCAAAAAGTATAAAGAATAGAGAAAAATGGCCTAAAAAATTAAAAACTACAGAAATGAAAAGACCCCCCATCCAGAACCTCTTTTATGGGGGCGTACGTTTGGCTGTGTGGGATGTATAAATACGCAGTCGCGCCCTAACCGGATAGGACCATTTAATTCGATACCTCGTGTAGGGAGTTGTGTCCTACCTGCACGTCCAAGAAACTCTTTGCAACAGCTATTTTAGGGGTCCGTATATGGCCTTTGCAGAAACGACATATTTAATCATTGATTTTTTTGGGGGGTGGGGGTGGGGGTGGGGGTGGGGGTTCTTCCTAAATGTATATGAAATATTTGCCATTAGAAGTTTATGAATCAATAACCAATCAAACAATTATCCTGATTAGACCATAATTTTCGACTCGTTGAATCTTAAAAATCGATTTACATTTGGAATAGTTATTATATGACATAAATTTTACTGTCGCTTACTTTTTTTTAAAGTTTTTATATGATTTTTGGGGACTAAAATCACAGGTTGCAGATCATTTTTGAATACAAAATGTACCAATCAGTTAGAATGGAAACATGTTTAACTGAAACAATACGTAAATCTTCTGAATGTTTATGTACAAGACAACCAAAGGGAAATATACCAGGATTGCTATGTTCCATCTGGTTTATGCTCAATACCCGAAGTTTGGAAAGCCAAAAATGTATTCATGGGGTTATTTGAACATACGTAGCAAAAATTGAATAGAAGTAGCTCATCGGTCCTTCATTGGTTCTGCTGTATGCAAACTAAATGCAAATAAATTTGTACATTTGCACACCTTAAATGGCCATATCGACAAAAGATTTAATTAAAGCTAAATACATTAAATCTCATAAAATACAGGAATCCTCATTCCTTGACTCATCCACAAATTCCCTTTTAAGAAATCCAATTCAAAACTATACTGTTTAATGGGATGTGATGTTGAGGTGAAATTCGTTCAGTAGTTTGGAAAAAGAAGGAGAATTGTGGTAAACATTTTATTTATACCAATTTGACCCCTTTCTAAACTTCATAATCATCTTCATTCGTTTATCAACAAAGGAATATACCATCACGCTGATCTATTATCATCATATACAGTTGTTTTACAAGAAGTAGGCTCCAGTAGGAATTCCCTTTAGGCCACACAAAAAGCAAATTTAAGAAAGTCGGTTTTGAACATTTTTACAGGTCATATGTCCTTTTAAATGAGACTTCATGTCGCTAGGTCGTCTGCCAAACCACCAGGGTTGCAGGTCGGGTTTGTCCATGTTAGAGCCACAATTTAAGATGTGATCAACGGAAAAAAGAAAAAAAATGTTAAAACAAACAAAGATGTGATTAGTGTAAAATAAAACATCGTGTTCCTGGTTTCTAAATTGAAGTGCGACCACACGTTTTCCTTGATATCCGAGTCGGTGTCTGTAACGATGTTTCCTGTGAGATGGCTCCAGTCTCTGGTTGTCCTTAGATAGATCTGTGTTCGTATTTAGAGGTGTCAAGGTGACGTTGTGGTTGCATAATTCTGACTGAGTGACTGTCATATTTTTCTGTTTATACAAAAAAGTACCGATAAATCTGTATTGCTACTTGGTGGTATATCTTGGGGTCGCCCCGCTATTCCGACACCCCATTAGTCCGAAATCTCATTGGTCCGACACCCCATTAGTCCGAAATCTCATTGGTCCGACACCCCATTAGTCCGAAACCTCATTGGTCCGACCCCCCACATTAGTCCGAAACCTCATTGGTCCGACACCCAATTAGTCCGAAACCTCATTGGTCCGACACCCCATTAGTCCGAAACCTCATTGGTCCGACACCCCATTAGTCCGACACCCCAATAGTCCGACACCTCAATAGTCTGACACAAGCAGTAATTGAAAATCTACTTCATAAAAAGAAATGGAGAAGACAGCACTGGTATGTAAAAATACCATGATCCTTTATATATATGTATATATAAAGCAATTGACAACCTTGCAATATATTGTTTTACAAATACAAAGTGTGACCAAACTCTTTCATAAAAAAACACTCCGCTATAAAGGGAATTTGATTGATTGATTGTTGTTTACTTAACGTTTAGTGGCAAATAGTTCATGCATGTTAAGGACGAAAACAAATGAATAATTAATACAAAAGGTATGTCCTGTAATAAGAATCGACCGGGATGGAGGGCAGAAAAGATTTAATGCCATGGGAAAATGAGGGTATATTGGATTGAAGAGAATTTGGAATTGGAAGAACAGTCTCTCGTCGTACAGGAAAATGCCCAGAGTGCAATAACTATACTCTCCAAAAAGGTCAAAACTGAAAACTATTTCATTTACAATAAAAACAGAACTTATAATTATCCAGGCATGTTGGTTTCCATTTACACCGAATTAGAATTTTAAAATCGAAAACTTTATAAAAAAAAAATATGAAAGTCAAAATATCCATCGTAAAATTGTACAATCGACTATATTTTGTTCTTTATTGTATACTTTATTAAGGTTGTTGAACTCAATAAAAACGGATAGCATTTGCCCTCAGCAGGCAATAAAAGCGCTGTTCCTTTGCTTTTTGTTTGTTTTCTGCTGTGCATGAACTGATTTTGTGTCATGGATTGATACCCCATATCCTTTGTTTTTCTATAACAGTAAATATTATTGCCTCCAAATTAATATCCTTCGATTTCACGAAACACGGTAAATAACGAACCTTTTTCACGGCTGCACAATGGCAAAACACGTTGCACGAAAATAACCCTTTACCACCCTCTTTAATGGACTTATACCTATTGTATCTATATTGTTAATAAGTTCTTATCCTAAACATGCACGAAATATTTGCCACTGGACGTAAAACAAACAAATATCAATTAATATTAGTTCTCCCTTTAACTTCTCTTCTCTAGCATCGTACATATGAAGAGTATTGGCATGTTGCTGTGACATATACAGCTATTAAAGAAATAGATAGTGGTGGAAGTGTCCGTTTGGATCTGAATATTTTTCATAGAAAAAACCATACTGATTTTATACAATACTCCAATAACCTTATGATCTCATCGGTTGCCATGTCGAGGAAAATTATGAAATTATTAATATATGATAAACTTATCACCAGAATATATTTCGTAAACTTCTATAGGTTAAAAGGAAGTAATTAAAGATGACTGGCGACACCTAGTTTGTAAATCCAAGATAATAGGTAGAAGTAAATTTATTTTTTCGGCTGCCCTGTTTATTAGAAAACAAAATTTGAATAGTGAGAAATGAGTGTATTGGTGTAGCAATAGCTAGAAATTTAGAAGAAACTCTCTGTGATGAACAAAATTTTCTGTGCAAAATTAAGCAAGAGGTGTTTCTATATTCATACTATTTTGAAAATTGCGGAACCATAGAGTACCCTTAAAAAATGCAATTTCTCTATCAAAAAAGCTGCGGCACCATATGTGTTTTGCAGTTTTATTCACACGGAAGCGTGTTGAAAATTCAGAATTTGACATTTTTTTTCATCGGAATTTTTATAATGAAAATACAGAACCCCAAAAGGCTACCATTGTCGCCTATGTAAAAAGTTACTTCATTTTAACGTATAGTCAACAGATTCCTAATGGCGAACGAGTCAAACACTGAAGGTGGCACGGTAGTATTTACACTCCGGAATTTAGGTTGCTCTTTTGTACTTAAGTCAATGTATCTGAACAGTGTGATTGGACAAAAAGTACAGTATCTACTGAACATACTTTCCCAAACTGAGTGATGATTCAGGTGTAGAAAAATATGAAATAATTTTACATATAGGTGAAAATGAATTTTTGAGATTTTTTTTAAATTTTGTATTCACTGCATGATAAAAGACCTAAAAGCACTAGTGGCCCTAGGTTAATAAAGATAGCAAAAAAAGTAAACGGTCATCATACATATTCAAATTAATTTTTGAATATTATAATGAAACTACTTCAGTTAACTGTGTATGTAGAATTTTGGGCAGTGTTAGAAAGGGATGAAAATTCTAAAGAGGCTAGCATTATCCCTATGGGTCAGGAAATACTACCGTGCCACCTGAAGAGTATTACTTGGAAGGGAGATAATCATTGAACCAGTTTACGCACTGTTTGGAAACGAACGAAATTACGGCAGAGCACTTCGACACAAGTGTTCCTTTCTAATTTCACTCTTTCTTAAATATTGGTGCCCATATAGACAGACTAAACTGATGTTCTTCAAATAATAATGGCATAACTGTTATATTTTAGCTCCCCTTTCAAAAAATTTATAAAATTAGAAGTTTTAGTTGAGTTGACCGCTATTACTTTTCAGCACTAGAGTTATACTAGAAAAAAGTGTCCGTCTTATTCACTTAAGCCATATTCGCACATATAAACGTGTAAGTAGCAAAGCTTCATTGGTTCCTTTATTTTCTTACTGTTCGTATGTGTCACTTTTAACCTGTATCTCTGAGATAGTGCACATATAAACGTGTAAGTAGCAAAGCTTCATTGGTTCCTTTATTTTCTTACTGTTCGTATGTGTCACTTTTAACCTGTATCTCTGAGATAGTGTATCCATAGATATTTAAGCAATTCACGAAGATTTCTCTAGTATTTTGTGCTTTTAGTTAGTGGTAATAAAATTCTGCTACTTTAGTACTAATACATTAACCTAAATTACATCACTTGTTCCCACGAAGGACAATATCCTCTTCTTAACATTGAGATAACCTTTTATTTGGCTTTCTAATATGAAAATAAATACATTTTTTTTAATATTTCGATGTCGGACAAATGAAATGTCTAAGTTCTCTAACTATTGGGTGTCGGACCAATATGGTGTCGGACTATTGGGGTGTCGGACTATTGGGGTGTTGGACTAATGGGGTGTCGGACCAATTGGATGTCGGACTATTGGGGTGTCGGAATATCGGGGCTGCCATATCTTCTGAAATAAGAAATCTTAAGCGGTTTACTGTTCTTTCAAGTGTAGGACAATTCAGATAATAGAATTACTGTCGAAGAGCAAGATGTGTAAGCCAATTGAGACAGTAGAATTGATGTGATTGAGCCAGTTTATAATTGAAGCTATTGGTTACAAATCCTGCTGTCCTGTCTTATATCATTTTCACCTGTTCAATATCCTTCTTGCAGTGACGGCCCCATACTGCACTGCTATATTCTAGTGCAATATTAGAACAAAAACTATCAGTAGTATACAATCTTTCTAAGCCACTTAGATCTTTCTGAAGTATTTCTATATCACTTTCAGATTTGATATTTCTATTATCAAACCATTATCTGCGAAAAGTCTTATGCTATTACTAGTTATATGTAGTTTATGTTCAAAACAAATAGCAGAGGACCCAAATCATCATTGGAAGTCCAAATGCCAAAACAAATAGCAGAGGACCCACATCATCAATGGAAGTCCAAATGTCAAGCCAAATAAAGGATGCAAAATAACTTCTAACATAAACGATTTGACTGAATTTTATTCAGTGTTAGGAAAAAGAGAAGATACAAAGAACAAAAACAAAATCAGGTACTCCGGAATGGTAAGTAGTTCTTGCTCCACAAGTGGCACCTGTTGTGCTGCCCACAGCCAGTTAGCATTCAACGAAAAGTTGGATTCAATGATGTCACAATCCAACTGTGGCTACAACAAATGGAACAAAAAGGAATCTAGCTGCAGTTTTATTACTCTAAATCCATTTTGGTTTTTACTTAAGGAACCCTAGATTACAGCAATGCAATACAGAATTGGCCCACAGGTGTATGGGTACAGGATTTTGATATTGTATTTTCATTGTTTGTACTAAATATACAATATTTTACCACATTCTTACACTACTATGCTTGTCTTATTTAGTTTTGTGTGGAATTATCAACTCTAATACAATTTCCTATTCTACTTTCCATGGTAAAAGACTTGCTTTTTCTCCAAGATGTTTTTGATGAAAACAAAACAGTTTGCTGCAATGATTATGTTTGACTTAATATTATGAATTGTGAATATCTCTCAGTAGATGAACAAACCTTCAAAATTAGGAAACAACAACTTGCAAATGTACTGCAGTGATAATTTTATCTACATTTTGTGCTCAAATCATTTGATTCCCGCCTCAAAACAATGAACTACACATGTTGAGAATAAAAACCCATGGTAAAAAATGACTGCAGAAAATTTGTGCCTTCAAAGTGAATAAATATTTATGATTTGGTGACAGTGAAAGACAAGGAACATTTTGTTTTCCTTTTGTCTGTTGTAAGTACAGGATTTTTTTAAAATACAATTTTACAGAGACCTTGGGACAAAATACAACAATGAAAACATTTAAGACATTAAATATTTATTTCAAAATATACGCTGAAATACAGAAGTTTTATGCTTTTTAATTAGGTTGTCATATTAAAGAAAGTGATAAATTTATAACATCAGAATTCAACAAACAACATATTTAAATAGATAACAAAAAAACATTGATTTTAAATTACACACTTTTAACAGCAGAAATGGACCCTTTCAAATGTCATGATGTAAATGATTAACAGGAAACAGTATAATAGTAGATAAAAGAATGCAATTGAGATCCCTAAAAAATAGTTTACTATGGCTACATGTTCATATTCCTTTCTAATGGCTTGAACCTTGTTGATTGTTATCTTTCTTTTTTATCTCATTGTTTTTTGCATATAAAGAATTTGGTGTTGATGATAAACCTGAATATTTTAAGTAAAACTGACAAAGCATTTTCAGTTTTGGAGTTTGTGTTGAAATGGAAGCAATAACTGTTAGTAAGTTAACTGACAGTGTATACATATATGTATAACAAACATGTAGCTTTTTACTCATAAACAAATACACAACTTCTTGTAATATACATACTGGCTGAAACTTTGTGATTATCATTAAAGCATGTTTACACAATAATTACAAGGAAACACAACTTAAACAATGTCATTCAATGAGGAAAAGTAAAAAAAATACATAAGATTTTTAGACTGTTTACAACAAAATTGTAGCCAAATTCCCCCTCCCGCTATACATTTGAAACTGATGTCAGTCTACAATGCAATGTGTTTTAATATCTAATGACTGTTAACATGCCACTGTGATATCAGGTTAGAACCTACAGAAATGACAAAATTATCTCCCTTTCCTTTCATTCCTGATCTTGAATTCTAGGTACTGGCAATGTTGTTTTTATATTTGCAGCCATCTTAATTTTGATAGGCTTGCTACTCACTGCAATAATCTGACGAGAAAAAATCTGATTAGTCATGAACATTTTAGTATAACTAATGATAAATTTTATTGAAAGATGCTTTTAGAAAAGATTCCCAAGAATATTCAATAATAGGAAAATTATAAAAGGCCCTGACATGAAAAATGTAAAACAATTCAATCGAAAAAACTAACAGCCTAATTCATAAAAAAACAATTTACGAAAAACAAATATGACAGACATGAACCAATAACAACCACTGAACTATATCTGCAAATACATGTAATACTATGGCATGCAAAACCTAAATAGGTCAAAATCTTGAAAAAAAAAATTCATAGATACATCAGAGTATTTGACACCAACAGCAAATTTTAAAAAGACAAAAAAACAACAGTAAGAGACAATCACCACCCCTACAAAATTGCTGTGATATAATACAAAAATTTAATTTTTGCTCTCAAAAACTATGATGCAGGACTTATATTTGTATTTCAATTCTGTGTTTTATTTCAGATAGATATGATAGTAGCATGGTTTCAGGGTAAATAAAATCTGAACAATTACAAAATGACAACACAAACATTTATCACAAAATATCGACAATTTAAATTATTGCACACAAACAATAAATACTGACATATCTACAACAAATATATCTAACATTGTTGGGCTGTAATTTAGACGAATTATATATATATATATATATATATTGTGTAAATCATTTGTTTTCATGGATTGAAGAAAAATTCAATGGTCACGGATACTTGATTTTTTGGCTTTTACAAATTAGGCAGACAAATGTATAGATAATTTGCATGTTGATGAACACTTTAGATCATGGTTAACCTTTAACCTTTACTCACAAAACCAAGAAATAATTTTGGATCCACACTATGTGTCATTCATTATTTTTAAATAATGAATAATTTTAAATAATTGTGAAATGTTCTTCGTTCAGCAAACCATTGTTTCTCTCTATTCAAATTGTATGTTGTCACTTGTTTAACAAAACTATGAGTTTGAAAGTGACATGAATTAAAACCAACATTCAAAAAAAAAAAAACATTTGAGAAATTTATGAATGAAATTGGCACAAATTGAGCTGTATTCAACCTATCAATTAAAACAATATATATATATATTAGAAAAGAGTAATGTTGATCTCAAAAAAACTTAATGCCCCCTCCACTACGAGAACTTTTTCAACTTGGAATGTCTTAAATAGGTTTGTTCATCAAACAAGTATTTCCTACTTTAAGAAATATCTTAGAAAAATGGAGACTTTCTTTTATGGATTAAATGCATTAACAACATTAAAAGAAAGAGCAACCAAAAGCTTTAATAGCAATGGATATAACCCCTCCCCTCCCCTTTTCCCAAAATAATACAAAAAAAATTTAATATTCGAGTTTGATAATTAATTGTAGGATTTTAAAATATATTTTTATATATTTTTGTCCCTAAAAAAGGTTGTTGTTTTGTTGGCATTTCTTTGTTTTTTATTAATATTATCATATTCATAAACACTATTTTGATATCAATTTTCTGGCCCGATTATAAATGAGAAATGTAACACAAGCTTAAACTGTTATCAACAGTAAGTACCTGTATATGAACATTAAATTTGCACTTTATGGAATACAATACATAAATGTGGAGCCACAGATCAGACCATTGTTTCTTGTTAGAATATGACTTAGTTTTCAAAGGACTAAACTATACTACAGTGAGTATGGTGCAATTTATTGTTTTCTAAATCCACTGAACAATTAATAGTGAATTAATAGTTTTTCTTTGTTCATTTGTTAGTTTAATTTTTAAATCTCATATTTGGATTTGATGTTTCTATACTCAGAATGTATATTGATATATGTGTAATTAAACATGCTGCTTTCCAAGACCACCAATGTAAATATCCCAGGCTACAAACAAAATGGTAGTGAGATGAATGTGCATTTAGGAATACATCATATGTGAAATTGCTTGCTGTTTAATCCCTGATGTGCTTCTCTAGAAAGTTAAAGCAGACAAAAACAGTATCTATCTCTCAATTATCACGTTGACATTGTCAGCATGGTTTCTCCTTCTCTCTCTTTATCTGTATCTGGTTTCTTTTTAGGTCTTCTTAATCTTCTGCAATAAGATAATTCACAGTTGTATAATTTAGAGCTTCTTATAAAGTCTTACAGCTAGCAAGAAATTTTGTTATTTTCCGAAACAGAAAGAAGTTATAAGGCATCATATTTTGACCATTGAATGCAGAAATTATTATAAATATATAAAACAAGCATTCTGAGAGTATTGCATTGCAATACATAGTCCCCTATAGGTTAAAAATTCATTGTATTGGAACAAAATGCTAACTTGATCTCTAATTTGTCATGATGTAAACTTTATAACAAATATCAAGTCAATATCTTCAAGCATGACGAAAAAAAGTGTTGAAAACTGATTATTTAAGTGAATTTTTTAAGTCCAAGGATCATAACTATGCACAAAATCATCAGACCAGAACAAAATTCGGACTTGATCTGTAACTTGTCATGATAAAACTATATACCAATTATCAAATCAATATCTTCAAGCATGACGAAAAAAGTGTGGAAAACTGATTATTTGAGTGAATTTTCTCTAAGTCCAAGGACCATAACTCTGCACAAAACCATCAGACCAGAACAAAATTCGAACTTGATCTGTAACTTGTCATGATAAAATGATACACCAAATATCAAATCAATATCTTCAAGCACAAAAAAAAGGTGTGGAAAACTGATTTGCCCGACTGACGGATGGACAGACAGAGGGACGGAGTGCAAACCTAAAGTCCCCTTCGACTTCGTCAGTAGGGGACTAATAAGAGACTGTAAATGTTTACATGAAATAATTCAAATTTGTGCATCTGATACGATTAAGAAATAGTATAATGGATTTTTGTTCCGCATATTTGTTTTTTTTTTTTTATTTAAGAAAAATATGATGGAGACATAATCCTTCTATCAAGTTTAATTGATGCCTGGAGCTGGCATGTCAGTAACTGCTAGTAGCCTTTGTTAGTCTGTATTTTGGTTCGTTTATATGTTTAGGGGTTTAGTGTGGAGTTCATTTCACTGAACTCATATACAGTATACATTATTGTTTAGGGCCAGCCGAAGCCTGCCTCTCGTTGCATGATTTTCTCCCTGTGTTGAAGACGCATTGGCGGCCTTGGGCTGTTTTTCTGCTTTTTGGTTGGGTTGTTGTCTCATTGATACATTCTCCGTTCTATTCTCAATTCTATTTCTAAAATTGTAAAAATTGTCCTCTCTAGATTTTTTAACATTAATATTTAGATATGCAACAGTCTAACCAAATGCCTATGTGAGTCAAATATTTTTTGGGGAAAAAGTGCACTTGTTCTGACCAAAAGAGGGAAGTAATACCAATACTAACCTTTTACGTATACCTATTACTGTGAAGGCTATCACAATTATCAAGAAAACTACTGCACAGCCAGCACCTGCTATTGCTCCTTTAGATAGACCAGATTCTTCCTCTTTAGAATGTACTATTTGTTGACCTTTCTGTGCTCCACGATTGGAACGTGTTGTTGTTGTTGGTATATCTTCAATATTTACATAAACTACATCTGAAAAGTATTATAGAAAATGTACAAATGTTTCAATTTTTTTCTTCTTTAAAAAGAACAATATCCAGAATATTTAAACAAATAGCTACGAATCATGTTTGCTGCATGGAAACTGTTGATCTTCTTAATTTTGCATGGAATTTATTATCACATCTATTGCAAATAATATAATAACGTGAATATAAGTTATCTATGTGCGTATTTCAAAAAAAGCTTGATCTACTATAATATGACTGCATGAAAAAAATTACAGAACAGAAACGAAAAATTCAGCCATTTTTTCATTTGTAAAGGGGCATAACTCTAGAACAGTTAAAGTGACGCCACCAAAATTCAAACTTGATCTGTGTTTTTTGGTAATAAGCATTGTGTATAAGTTTCATAACATTTGGTTGAGGCAAACTAAAGTTAGAGAACGGAAACCAACTTCGGGACATCCGTATGGATGGATGGACAGACGGACAAGGGTAAAACTTAATGCCCCCTCCGCTTTGGCGGGGGCATAATTAGAAAATTGAGAAACAAAGTAGAATGTATCTGCAAAAGTAAATTGATTCATAGTATATTTTGTACTAACAGTAGGCCTATAATTAGATGATGATCAGATCTGTATTTTATTTTTGGATAAATCATACATGTATGTCACATGGTGTTGTCACAAACTTTCATGTTGTATGAAAATTAGGTACCATTTAGAAGTATATTTCATCACTGATACATAGTAAACCATAGGTATATTTTTTGAAAATAAATCAATATTGTTAAGTATTGATCATAAATGCTCTCTATAATGAATGACATGTCAATGCCAATTTACTGTAGATTCAAGCATGGTAAGAACTGAATGCAAGTTTTGTAATTTTGCACAAATAAAGAGTAAAAAGGAGTACATGAACATTTTCATTAAATCAATAGTTGTCTTCTTCACCCATTATAAAACTAATGCTTGTAAAGATATCATTTACAGCTGAATTTTTTTTATCCCAAACTGAAATATGCAGACAGCATTCAACATACATGTATAAATGTAAAATTATTTTACCTGTTTTATTTTCTTTGTCTAAAACCCAAACTGGATCAGCTGATTTTACACCTGTAAAATTAATTCAAACTGTCAGTGCTTAATAAAACCAACAAGATTGCTATATTGTAGCGAAATGTCCCAAGCACTGTTTAAATGGGGAAATAAATTGTGTGTCACAATTTGTGATTGTGGTATCATAGTCAAAATATGGTAAGGGTCTCATAACTCCCATCAAAATGGTCAAATCAAAATGACAGTTTGGTCAACTTTGCATTATAGGCAACCAATAGTACACAGTATCAAAGTCCCATAACTCTCTTTAAAGGTTCAGATCGATACAACTGCATAATATGACCAGTTACACATTATGGCAAACAATCCTATAAAGTATGAGAGCTTTCTCATGTTTCTGTAAAAAAGTCTCAGAGGAGATGTGTAAAATAGTGATTTTTTTACTACAAATTTATAATTTGATCAGTTTTTTGCGTGAAAGTTGGAAACTGAGAACTTTCATATTAACATAGTTATATATTTTTTCTTTTTTCATAAACAAAGTGTTCATAATGAATAGTATGTTCTCGTTCTCTGTTGTTATATAAAACAATGTATAACTATCATATAAATGCTTAGGGCTTTTCCATTAGAATGTATGTGGGAGGGTAGGAAGGGACTTTCAAAATATCCCTACAACCAAGAACCATTTTATAGATAATTTTGCATAATGGTAATAGACGCATACTGAAAAAAGACCCATGACCCACATTCAATAATTAAGCTTCCCTTCCTACCCACCCACATACATTTTAATGGAATAGCCCTTATTATAACTTTTTTGTTGCTCACACATGATAATAAGTTATAGCATTATTGTGCTTATTGCAATAAACGTCTTTATCTTAATTTTAAACTTTTCTTTGTGCTTAATTTAAGTTACTGTAACTATACTTACTTATACAGGTCCCATTGGGAGCCTCAATATAGTCATCACAGCACACACTCACAGTGGAATAATAATACTGTGTTCTGTTGCTATTTTTATCACAAATTTCTTTTCTGAAAAAAAAAATTGTTAAAAACTGAAGATAAATTCTGTAAATCTGCTCAGTGAATAGCTATATTTTTCATAGTCTTAAATATAGCTGCATATGCATACTGCATTATATCTTCTTTCTATTTCTGTTTAAAGATTTAATAAAATGCTTCGCTGGGGCGCAGCTTGATACGACCGCAGAGGTCGAATCCTGAACAGTTGGGGCAAATATGGACACATCATTCAAAGCTTGATACAGCTCTGAATTTGGATTGTTATTAAATATTTGACACAGCATAGGTTTCTGACACAGAAAGAATGTGGTCTAAGAACTTGAATTTTTTTAATTTACCTATTATGGTCCAATGTCCAAAATCAAAATACATGGTTAGATTCGGCATATCAAAGAACCCCATATATTCAATTTTTGTTAAAATCAAACAAAGTTTAATTTTGGACCCCAACTTGGACTAACTTGAAAACTGGGCCCATAATCAAAAATCTAAACACATGTTTAGATTCAGCATATCAAAGAACCCCAAGAATTCAATTTTTGCTAAAATCAAACTAAGTTTAATTTTTTACCCTTTGGACCTTAATGTAGACCAATTTAAAAAACGGGACTTAAAATTAAAAATCTAAATACACGGTTAGATTTGGAATATCAAAGAACCCCAATTATTCAATTTTTGATGAAATCAAACAAAGTTTTATTTTGGACCCTTTTGACCTCAATATGAACCAATTTGATAGTGGGGCCCACAAATAAAAAATCTAAATTCATGGTTTGATTCAGCATATCAAAGAACCCCATATATTCAATTTTTGTTGAAATCAAAAAAAGTTTAATTTTGGACCCCAACTTGGACCAACTTGAAAACTGGGCCCATAATCAAAAATCTAAACACATGTTTAGATTCAGCATATCAAAGAACGCCAAGAATTCAATTTTTGTTAAAATCAAACTAAGTTTAATTTTGGACCCTTTGGACCTCAATGAAGACCAATTTAAAAAACTGGACCCAAATTAAAAATCTAAAAACACGGTTAGATTTGGCATATCAAAGAACCCCAATAATTCAATTTTTGATGAAATCAAACAAAGTTTAATTTTGGACCCTTTTGACCTCAATATGAACCAATTTGAAAGCAGGGCCTACAAATAGAAAATCTAAATACATGGTTAGATTCAGCATATCAAAGAACCTCATATATTCAATTTTTGTTGAAATCAAACAAAGTTTAATTTTGGACCCCAATTTGGACCAACTTGAAAACTGGGCCCATAATCAAAAATCTAAATACATGTTTAGATTCAGCATATCAAAGAACCCCATATATTCAATTTTTGTTGAAATCAAACAAAGATTAAATACTGGACCCTATCTTGGACCAACTTGAAAACTGGGCCCATAATCAAAAATCTAAACACATGTTTAGATTCAGCATATCAAAGAACCCCAAGAATTCAATTTTTGTTAAAATCAAACTAAGTTTCATTTTGGACCCTTTGGACCTTAATGTAGACCAATTTAAAAAACAGGACCCAAAATTAAAAATCTAAATACACGGTTAGATTTGGAATATCAAAGAACCCCAATAATTCAATTTTTGATGAAATAAAACAAAGTTTAATTTTGGACCCTTTTGACCTCAATATGAACCAATTTGATAACGGGGTCCACAAATAAAAAATCTAAATACATGGTTAGATTCAGCATATCAAAGAACCCCATATATTCAATTTTTGTTGAAATCAAACAAAGTTTAATTTTGGACCCCAATTTGGACCAACTTGAAAACTGGGCCAAAAATCAAAAATCTAAATACATGTTTAGATTCAGCATATCAAAGAACCTCATATATTCAATTTTTGCTAAAATCAAACAAAGTTTAATTTTGGACCCTTTGGACCTTAATGTAGACCAATTTGAAAACTGGACCCAAAATTAAAAATCTATATACACTGTTAGATTCGGCATAACAAATAAATAAATGTGATCAAAGATTTTACAAATCTAATGCGCCATACTGTGCAATTAAAGACTTCTTGAAATTTTTCAATATTTGAAATTTGAAAAAAAAAAAATTTTGAAGAATAATTCTTTTTAATTTCTGAAATCTGAAATGAGAAAAAATTGACCCCCCACAATTTCTTTTTATCCCCTCCCCCCTTTTTTCCCCCAAAAAATTCTTTCCCTCAAGATATGGTCATAATCTCAATTCAAATTTCCAATGGAGTTGGCAACCATAATTACCCATTTTAATTTACCATAGTGCTAACTTAATATATTTTATAATAGAATTAAAAATATAGTGTCAAATCTTTCATATGGATTTTTTTGTAAAAAAAAAAGATGCAACATTTGCAGATATTTTTACTGGTCTTCCTTTATAAATATGCATTTCTTTAAACATAATTTAAAAGCAGTGTAAGGGAAGTAACCAAAACGTTGTATTTGGATTACCTCCCTTACACTGTTTTAAATTATCTTTATTGTTCATTAACCATTACTTTATACATAATTTAAAAGCAGTGTAAGGGAGATAATTTCAATGATGTATTTGATTTATCTCCCTTACACTGCTTTAAATTATGTTTTGTACTAAAGTATTTGTCCATTAACCAGGACAACCCTGTTTTTCCCCCTTTTTTGCCCTAATTCCTAAACGGTTTGAGCCATAACCCCCCAAAGCAAATCCTAACCATCCCTTTGTGGTATGGAAACTTGTAGTATAATTTCAGAGAGATCCATACACCGTTTCACAGTTATTGTCTGGAAACTAGAAAATGCTTATTTTTGGCCCCTAATTCCTTAACTGTTGGTACCATAACCCCCAAAATCAATCCCAACCTTCCTTTTGTGGTATTTAACCTTATGGTCAAATTTCAAAAAGATCCATTCACTTAAACTAAAGTTAGAGTGCGAAAACCAATGTGTCTTCGGACGACGACGCCGGACGACAACGACGACGCCAACGTCATACCAATATACGACCACAAAATATTTTTGCGGTCGTATAAAAATTAATCATATTTCCACATTCATTTTGACATTATGAAAAGGTGGCTAAATAAATGAATGTTTTTTTTTTAATTGTATTGAATATGCTGGCATACTGCTCTGATTTTAATGTAAAACAGTTATTTCATTTAATTCTGTTTTCCATTTGAAAGTATGTTTTTGAACAGCTAAATCAAAATATGTCAATGCAATTTTCAAGAACAAACATTCATAAACAAGAAAACTAATCACATACAATTTTTTCTCTATTTTTGACAAAAAAAGGTACATAACTCTGGAATGACAACTTAACAAATTATCAACTTGTTTGTTTAGAACTAAACATTACCTAATATTCATTAAGATCCAGTCAAAGAAATCTGAATTATCCTGAAACATGCTTCAAAATGGCATTTTTTTTTACTATCAAAAGTTTCTGAATGAACTTTACTCATGCACTTACTTTGGACAAAATTTACTAACTCAGAAATTTAATTTCTGTCCTTGTAAATTACTTTATCCTGATTTAGAGTAATTTCTCGCAATTTGATTGGCTAACCAAAAGTGAGATTATGTTGGTCATATTTTGGATTCGAACTTGTGATAAATTCCCCATCCTGATATAGAAAAAAAACATAAATAAGTGGTGTGATAACAAAATCAAGATAAATTTGTTACAGTGTGCAATTGTCCTAATACGGAATTTATCGGGTCAATAAATTCCTGTATTAGGACAATTGCACACTGTGTAACTAATATAGCACAGACTCAGCCTCCTTATAAATAATGTAAGGACAATTAAGATATCCCAAATATAGATGATCTGATATTGCAATACCCTTTCTGAATTGGTTCATTGACCACACTGACATTCCTAATTTTAACTAATAGGCCAAAAAATTAATCTTGTTTTCTGCCTCCTGGCAGAATAAAATTTTATTTTTTAAATATTTGAAGATTACCGTATAATGGGAAAAGTTCTAGACTTTTACTGTGCTTAACCAAAAATTTCTGAACTTTAAAAAAATGTCCATAAACTATGAAAAGGTATGCATGAAAATTTAGCAAACTTCTTTAATTACAAATATGAAAGTGCTGAATCCTGATAAAACATCTACGTTTAAAAAAAAATTATTCATGAGCTGTCCCCTGTATGTTCATGTATTTGCCTTCAATTACCAATGATTCCAAATAATATAAAATGCAAAACAAAACGGAATATGTTTACTATTACTTACTTGTAAAAAGTACACAGATCTAAACTGAACCATCCACAACGGGCCTTATAAGCTTGAACACATGGTCCAGTTTCATACATTTGAGCAATTTTTTCTGTCCTCTTGATTTTATTACATTTGTGATTTGATGGACTTCCTTCAATTTCAGTTCTGAAATACAACTTTTTGTCATTAAAGATTTGCTGAAAATGAAAAAAAAAAAAAAAAACAGGAACAGGGCATTGAAATTAACTTTTTTATTTGACAGGAATTCATTTACCTGCTTCTCCAGCCAGTTAAGGTCTAATAATTGTTTTGCTCTTGAGTCTCAATTGTAATCTGGTAGGCATTTAGATTTATGTATCATGTAAAATCTGAAAACACCCAATAAGGGGTGATTTTTTTGGATGACCTTTTATGCAAATTTATAATCAGCAGATCAATTCATGTGACAGGCTGACACTTTTATTACAAATGTTTTTCCCACAATCATAAATGTAAATGTAGATGAACTCAGTAAGATCAAAATTTGCAATGTGTAACTGTTCATAATTCTTATTTTAGTGCTTCAAGCTGCTTCACTGTGTTTTGTGCAAATTGGTCAAAAGTCAATGTGTAAGCAATTTATTTATTTTTCATTCATTGTGAATTGGTTATTTCAAAATGATTTACCAGTGTCTGTGCAGGTACCCTTATTTTCCCTACAAACCTCTTATTTATGACCTTCTATAATAATTAAAGTACATCATGTATTCATCAACTTACAATTTATATTAATATCAAACCTTAATAATTTGAAAGAAAACATGTACCAGAATAAAGAGAAAAGACAAACAGCAATATCAAAGTACTCTCACAAATCTTAAGATTTAGCAACCGCAACCTAAAATTGTGTGTGAACTATGTTTGTTATTCATGTTGTTTGGTTGCTGTCTATTTTCATTCATATCAAAAATTTAATCAATTCTCTAGTACTAAAATTGATCTATAATTTTTAAAGCACACAAGCAATGAACTATATTCGTTTATCTCTGAAAATTCTTACCCTTCTACAAACACAAGCAGCAAAACAAAGACGAGTGATAATGTCATTAATGAAACGAATTCGTGATAGATGTACATTTTGCAGGATGATGATTAATGGCACTTATTGATTCAGTTTATGTTTCCGGTGTCACATGGTTACATAAAACATCAAGATTCTGTTTGGATAGGATTCGCTCAGCTGATGTTCAACAATAATAAATAGTTTGGACTTTAAACCTATGTCGTCATTGCATTGTACATTCTTATTTCGCTTTGACAGGAAGTAAACAATAATATCTGGAACATGCGTACACAGGATAACTAACATGTGTTTCCGGTAACTTTCGATATGACTGAAGAAAGAAATAATTCGGGAGAAACATTTGAAAATGAAAGACCAACAGATAAAATCGTGTCTTCTGGACAAAAATTCAGTGAAGAACCAACACTAGAAGATATGTAAGTACCACAAACAAAATCTATGATTTTTTTATGTATAGCGTATGTAAGACACGTTGGGGATAAGGGAGCTACCATTTGATTTACATGTATATGGGGGCTAGGATGATCTAGGATGAAATTTGAAAAAAGGCAGGACAGGAGTCTTGAGTAAAAAAATAGGCAGGATGAGCAACTTGGCAAAAAAAGGCAGGATGACAATTTATGTAAAAAAAGTCAGGATAAACTATAATAACAAAAAAGGCAGGACCGAATAGAATATCTTTACGATATTCAAAGGGAAGATTTTTTTCAATACATTTCTAACAATTGTTATAATTTTAAAAATTTAAATAAATCTTCTAAATTTTTATCGCTCTTGACCCAAGAAAATGTAACTCTTATGGAAAAACTGGTCTGTTAAATTTGTGACTGTTTTGAATTAAGGAGATCAGGTATGAATATTGATACTAAGTCAAGTAAATGATTTGAGAATGAATGCATATAATGTAATTTTATTCTTTTATTCACAATATATATGTGGTCTTTGGCTCTGATTCTGACCAATGCTAATATACTAAATATATATTTACAAGTGACTTTTTATTGTTGTTGTTACCAATTATTTAAATCAATTGTATCTGATTTTATGCCCTCTATGGGCCCTGTAATTTGGGAAATAAAAATATTCTATTCTATTCTATTCTAATAGAGTGAAAAATAAAAAGGCAGGACAGTGATTACAACTAAAAAAAATGCAGGACAAAATTTGTCATCCTACCCCCCCCCCCCCATAAAAATCAAATGGTAGCTCCCAAAACTCATCATAGAACCTCATAAATGGGTATTGTACCAAAGACAGAGATATCAATTTTCAGTGATAATAAATATAAACTTTGGATTTCAAGATATTTGCTGTCATGGTGAAAACATTCAGGTACAGGACAACATTTTTACTAAAGACACCATGACTGAAATATCACTGTCTGGATAATCTGTTAATAGCCTTCAAAAAAGGGGGATTTTGGAGGCCATTATAATATATCTTTGTATTCAGTTCTTATTTGAACAATGGTCTTAAACGAAAAAAATGATGTCATTTATATAAATATTTTCGCCGTGACAACCATTAATGATGTAATTCAAAATTCGATTTTTTATCACCGTAAATTGATACCCGATTTTGGGGTAAAGTACCAATAAATGGGGATAAAACCCCTTCTTCATTCTGTCTGTATCTGTCTGTATGTGTACGTTGAAGATACAAATTCTGGCTTTTATTCTCCTTCTTCTTCTTTCGTTAATCAGCAAAGGAAAATTCCATCACGCTGATGCTGTGTAATCAAGTGCAGGAGCTGTACAAAGTGTGATCAACGGAAAATTGAAAAAAAAATCGATGTACAAGTTTAATAAATGTGGTTGGTGCAGGTTAAAAACATAGATGATGTTTTTACAGCATTACTGTGTCCCTGCCTCATGATGGAAGTGTGATCAAAGGTGTCCGAGTCGGTGTTACGATGTTTCCTGGAAGTTGGTCATGTTGGTTCTAGTCTCGGATTGTTCTTGGATGGAAGCAGAGGTGTTGCACTGTGGTTGCATGATATTGACTGAGTGACTATGTCACGTTTTTCGGTTGTTAACAAGATAGTATTGTGGAATTCGGTGGATACTTGTTGGTATAATATCTTCTGAAATAGGATTAGGCGGTTTACTGTTCTTCTGGTTTCAAGTGTTGGCCAATTCAATGAGTGTAAGATTGTTGTCATTGAGCCAGGTAGGTAATTGTAGTTGTTGGTTACAAATTTGCCGCTCTGTGTTGAATTATTTCTACCTTTTTGTATGTCCTTCTTCCAATAAGGTCCCATACAGAACTGCTGTATTCTAGATGTTGTCTAACCAGGGCAATATAAGCATGTTGTTTGATATCTGGTGGACATCGATACACATTTCTTTATACAAATTTGAGTGTTTGTGATGCTTTATTTATCTTGAATGTTATGTGGTGGTTCCAATTGAGCTTGCTGTCTAGCTCCACTCCTAAGTATGGGTAATGTTCTTTAACTTCAAGTTTTGTTCCATGTAAGAAGTATGGTCTTTCAATTCTTTTATGGATATAATGGGTTACTTAAAGAACTTAGCAATTCTTTGGATTGAATGACATTTTCCTATTAATAGACCACCTTTCTAAGCCAGTTAGGTCTTCAAGTTCTGTAGAGTTTCTGCGTCGTTTTGGGAGTGGATGCTACGGTATATTAAACAGTCAATAATGAGGAACTTACCCAACCTGTTATGATAGACATGATAGATAACTAATGTTTCAAATTTTATTGTTAACATATGTACGACTTTGCACTTTTGCTTTGTGTGCTAAATGTTACAGAAAAGCACATATTCAAATCTTTATACCAAACGTGTTTCAATGATAACATTAATGGCATATGATACAGGTACAAGGGAGGTAATGACGTTGCTAACGTAAAATGCATTTTTTCGCGACGTCAAACTGCGACACATCGAGAAAAGATGCAGTTTTCGAGTGATTTCAATAATTAGCTTGAAAACGAGTACATGGAACCCTCATTTTTTTTACCGATATTTTACTTGATACTGTATTTATAAAGATTATTTGTTCAATTTTTTTATAAGAAAATCACAAATGTTTTTTTTTTTTTTTTTTAATTAGATGAATATGAAGCAGACAATTCCGTTTTTTTTTCTAAAATCATGATAATTCAATAAAAATGAATTATTTACAATGAATTTATACAAATAAGAGTATTCTTTTGTAAAGAGGATATTCCAAATCTGTTTATAAAAAAATCACATGTATTTATATATCTTTTGAAACAAAAAAGTTAGGTGTGTCTGTCCAAATGATAAAAATGTACAATAAGCCTAAGTTTTCGACCCCCTTTTATCTCTAAATTAGGACATAAAGGTATAATTTATTTTTTATTACATATTTGAATTGACCAAGTAAAAGTAGCTTGTATGCAAATTTTCGTAAAAACAAATTACCGTGGGATCAATACTGTTACAGATCTGTATGCCCTTAAGTTCCCATAACACTATTTCGATTTTTTCTATTATAATTTGTATCTCATCTAGCTAGCTTTTCCACAGGTTAGATATATCTTGTAGCTAAAGTAAGTACTGTTTTGTTATTTTTGTTGTTGCATTTTGTAATTATTGTTTTTTTTGTTTGCAGAAGGTTACTCCAGGAAGAATTTTCAGCAGAAAGAAACTGGAACCAGTATCATACTCCTAGAAATATACTTCTTGCTTTAGTGGGAGAAGTTGGGGAGCTATCTGAAATTTTGTAAGACATGTAAACCCAAAATATCCGTAATCACAGGTCAAATCAGTTAATACCATAACCAAGGATTTGTATAGTAAGACTTACTAAACAAATCCTTGCCATAGCCAAATAGAAAACAATATGTATACAAAACATCATGCAGAAAACTAACGACTAAGAAACACATTGCCAAAAAAAGTGGTGGTCACATGCTTTGGAAGGAAATTAAAGCAGATCTTGCTCAGCTAGTGGCACCCATCATCCGCCTTGGAAAGTTAAAATTTGGTGCTAACAGCAAAGATACAAGTTACTTTGAAAATAAGAAAATGAGGTTAGATTGCCAATGAGACATTACTATCCATATAGACCAAAGAGCAAGATGTGAGCAATTACTTCATCAGCATTTTTCTTTGATTGTGTTTCTTTTTTTGAATAATAACTGGTGTGAGAAAGTTTCTCAGTTAAGATTGTTTAGTGTCTTAATTTATATATATGAAATAAAAAAAAAATAATGACTCTTTTTTTAAAACAATTTATGCATGAAATTATCCCAGCAAGAAACTTTGGTACCAAAATTTATAATACCTGAAGTCTTATCACAAACGGCTATGTAGTTATATGACTTCTTGTGACCAGAAATTTAAGATTAAAAAATTTAAATCAGTTAGTGAGAAATGTACAAAGCTTGGCCAGCATGATGATTGATACTTTGACAGTAACGGTTTCTATTTTTTGCATTGTTTAAAATTAAAACTAACATATGCATTCAATTTATTTTTTAGTCAGTGGAAAGGAGAAGTTAAAGTTGGACTTCCTGGTGAGTGAAATATTTCATACATTTACACATTTAACTACTCCTGTAAATAGAGCAACATCTTAAAATAGTCGTGGCTGGGTAGGAAGGTACTTGCAGTATCCCCACACAAACAATGTACCTCCATGTATGTCCTGAGTATAGATGAACGAAAACGTTTTTTCATCTCTGTCTTCTGATACCATCCCTAAAAATAGATGAATGCCTTAGGGAGATCTGAGAAAAAAAACTGGATTTTTCTTTTTTTGCAAAATTAGTTTGAACCCTGTGATAATATTTCATTTGTTATAGAGAATTTTATTATCTGAAAATATACAGTATATTGTATAAAGTTGGATAATATGGGAAAAGTCTTCTTTCAAGGATGAGACTGTTTACAATATAATACATATAACTATGTCATCATTTACAATTTTCAGAATTTACAGAAGAAGAGAAGAAGCACGTGGGCCAAGAAATGAGTGATGTTTTGATATACCTTGTCCGATTGGCTGACAGGTGTCATATTGACCTCCCGGCAGCTGTATTACAAAAGTTTGAGCAAAATAGACAGAAATATCCCGCAAAAAAAGTGTATGGCAAAAGTGATAAATATACTGCTTATGAATAAATATTTTATTATCTGTCAAAGACATGTTTTTTTTCTTAAATTAGTGATTGGTTGTAAAATATGGTGCTTTAACATGAATAAAAGGAGATTTGGAGTAAACAT